CGGATCTATTTATATTCTGATTTTTTTACGGATTGTAAAGTCATGCACATAAAAGCGAAAGCTCATATAAATATGAAAAATATACCAAAGGGATAGTTCAAAATACCATTTAATAACAATAAACATATGGATAGGTTAAGAATGAAATTCTGTACAGGACATAGGTATTTAAAATACGGAACCGAGTTCGGAAGGCGGCTTGGAAGCGACCGGAAGCGATAAAATCTGGTCAATGGTATAGTAAAATTGACGCTTTGACAGCGTCATTTTCCAAAAACTGCATTTGACCCCCATGTTCTATTTTTAGCCATGGCAGCCATCTTGGTCGATGGGCGTGGTCATCGGATACATTTTTTGAACTAGATACCCAAAGGATGATTCAGGCCAAGTTTGGTTTCATTTGGCCAAGTAGTTTCAGAGGAGAAGATTTTTCTAAAAGTTAACGGACGACGACGACTGACGATGGACGCCAAGTGATGAGGAAAGCTCACTTGGCCCTTTTGGGCCAGGTGAGCTAAAAATGCTTGTTTTTGGCCCCCATTTCCTGAAAATTTGGGGCAATTACCCCCAAAATTCAATCCCAGCCTTCCCTTTGTAGTTTCAGAGCGATCCATACACTAAAACCCAAGTTATTGTCTGGAAACTAGAAAAATTGTTTTTGGCAACTATTTCCTGAATGTTAAGGGCAATTACCCCCAAATTGCAATCCCAGCCTTCTCTTTGTGATATGGAACCTTGTGGTACAATTTCAGAGAGATCCATACACTTACACACAAGTCATTGTCTGGAAACTACAAAAATGCCTATTTAGGCCCCTTTTTGGCCCCTCATTCTTAACTATTGGGATCATAACCCCAAAAATCAATTCCAACTTTCCTTTTGTGGTTTCAAACCTTGTGTTTAAATTTCATAGATTTCTATTCACTAATACTTAAGTTATTGTCCAGAATCAAAATGTCCTTGGACGAAGCTGACGCAGACGAAAAGGATGGCGATGACGACATGATACCAATATATGACGGCAAAAAACTTGAAGAGCCAATTTTCACGAAAATATGTTATGCAAATCTACATATTATGTATAACTGTAACAAATGACATTTCTCAAAATTTCTGATTTATTAACAAATCAATGAACTGAAATTTTATCAAAATATGATATGCAAGTCTACATTTTATGCAAATATTATGGGCCCCCTATCTATGCTTTTGGAAGTTGCTCTTACACAAATTGTTGACTAACAGACACACAGAAAAAGAGACATAGCAAAAACTGAAAGGCTTCCACATCCTCGATTTGGGGCCCTGATAATTATCAAATAGAAATTGTACTCTCGTTACTTTCTATCAATCATCAAAAAGTTTCTATCTAAGTTTCATAAAATTCCATGAAGGTTTAACATAGTTGTTAATGTCTAAATAAATGTGGATAGTGTCCACATGTGGACACAGATGATGCCCCCGCTTGCATATCATATCGTTATAAAGGAACATAACTGAAGAACGGTAAAAATGACGCTACCCAAATTTGAACTTGATATGAGTTTTGTGGTAATAAGCATTGTGTGTAAGTCTCATAACATTTGATTGAGGGTAACTTAAGTAGAGAACAGAAACTAAAAATTCAACAATTTTTCTATTTGTAAACAAGCATAACTCTAGAACGGTTGTGTATAAGTTTTATAACATTTGGTTGAGACAAACTAAAGTTAGAGAACAGAAACATGTTTATAAAGGGACATAACTCAAGAATGGTAAAAGTGTCGCCACCAAATTTCATTCTTAATCTGTATTATGTAGTAATAAGCATTGTGTATAAGTTTCATAACATTTGGTTGAGGCAAACTAAAGTAAGAAAACGGAAACAAAAAATTTGTACTTGATCTTAGTTTTGTGGTAATGAATATTGTGTATAGGTTTCATAATGTTTGGTTGGGGCAAAATTAAGTTACAGAATGGAAACTAAAAATTTTTTGAAGACTCCAATTTTAAAAATTACTTGATATTTAGAAGAAAATAAAAATTTTGCAATTTTTCCATTTATAAAGGAACATAACTCTAGAACGGTTAAAGTGACGCCACCAAAATTCAAACTTGATCTGTGTTTTGTGGTAATAAGCATTGTGTATAAGTTTCATAACACTGGTTGAGGCAAACTTAAGTTAGAGAACGGAAACTAAAAATTTTGCAACTTTTCCATTTATAAAGGGGCATAACTCTAGAACGGTTAAAGTGACGCCACCAAAATTCAAACTTGATCTGTGTTTTTTGGTAATAAGCATTGTGTATAAGTTTCATAACATTTGGTCGAGACAAACTTAAGTTAGAAAATGGAAACTAAAAATTTTGCAACTTTTCCATTTATAAAGGGGCATAACTCTAGAACGGTTAAAGTGACGCCACAAAAATTCAAAATTGATCTGTGTTTTTTGGTAATAAGCATTGTGTATAAGTTTAATAACATTTGGTCGAGACAAACTTAAGTTAGAAAATGGAAACTAAAAATTTTGCAATTTTTCCATTTATAAAGGCATAACTCAGGAACAGTTATAGGTTGCAATTCTGTAAATATAGACAATGCAATTTCCCATAGGAACTCCCTTTGCGGCTAAAACTGTGACACTTTTACTATGAAGTTTCGTGAAAAATAATATCCTAGAACGGAAAGTTTATATGCACTACTATTTTATTCAAAGGTCAAAATATAGGGCTGTGCGGCATATTTTCAACATTTATATGCCCTGAACTTCTAAGAGTTTAAACTTATACTAAAATTCTATACTGCCCTTACCTCCATTTCTGGACCTCCTAAGAATTAAAATTTAGGCGCTACCATGTTTTTCTATACTGGTTACATTCCCAAGTGATGTCTCTATGAGATGAAACACAGAGATCATAAGTGGGAACCAGTACGTAAACAAATTAACATATCTATGAATATTATATATCTCCCCAAAAGAGGCGTGGTTTGAGAAACAGCTGTATTTACAAAGTGCAACCTATACAAACATTTATTCAAATAGAAAACTCTCTAAAAACACTTTTTCTCACAACAATACTTATTTATCATAATTATAGCCTTAAAGAAGTCACTGCATATACTCAAAGTTTCCTTTTACAGTACATTTTATACCCCTACCCCTGTTTCAATTTTTTAAAGAATTTGAAAACAAGACTTTAATTATTGCCAGCTTACCCTATGTGCATGTTTTCTGACATGAACTGTCTAAAGCCTGATTGAAACTATTCTGATAACAAATTGAAAGCATTTTAAAATAATATAAATGTAATGCTAAGTACTTAATCATTCTAACATTCAAGATTATACAAAGTATCCAATCATGCCTGTGTCTCCAGTCCACATATTACTGTATGCCTATTTGTCAATGAAAGTTCACAATTTCTGCCTCAAATGGTCAGTTTAGAATTCCTGTTACAACAGTATCATCCCTAACCATATATCTAACATAAGTTAGTTAATATATGAACTAGAAGTGTTTAAACAAAGCCATATTTGCAAAAGTTGTATTTATGAAGATATCAGTCTGGTGCATAAATTCACTAAAAGTTTGATAAAAGTGACTGCTTACATCTGATCTTTGCATAACTTCCTAGCACAGTTATTGTTTTCTTTACAAAAGACCTTTAAAATAATAAAATCATAGCATTTAGAAGTTAAATTATCTGTTTTATGACCCAGGGGGAGGCATTTTTCTCTGTTTTTTTGCCCCTGGGGCCTCACAATTCCTAATTTTTTTCCCTGTTTCTAGCAATGTGGAATATTTAGTACATATTTTGGATAGAACACACTGTTGTAAGTTTTACTGAGGTCTTTTGGTTATTTTAGCTTGTACTTTTTATGCCGCTGTCACAAAAAAGCACATTTAGGTGTTACGGCTTACTTTTGGGTTATCGACAGGACAAAAACACCCCACCAAAAATATTTAAGAAGGATCAATGAGTTGCAATGACTGCGAAGGGTAAATATAAGCACTACTAAACAATTTAAATTACAAATAGGCATATATTATGAATTTATTTTTAATTCAGGGCTTTAAGTAAACAATGCATACTGTAAACTGTGAATTTATGCTGACTCATCATAGTTGAGGCCCAGGATTTTCTCAATCTTCATGAAATATTTATAAAACTTCATATTTGAGTTAGATTCTTCAAAATCTCTGAGATAAACAAGATTTTGTGAAATTCTGTATGTTCTAATTTTTAACCCTATATAGGTTGCAATTCTGTAAATATAGACAATGCAATTTCCCATAGGAACTCCCTTTGCGGCTAAAACTGTGACACTTTTACTATGAAGTTTCGTGAAAAATAATATCCTAGAACGGAAAGTTTATATGCACTACTATTTTATTCAAAGGTCAAAATATAGGGCTGTGCGGCATATTTTCAACATTTATATGCCCTGAACTTCTAAGAGTTTAAACTTATACTAAAATTCTATACTGCCCTTACCTCCATTTCTGGACCTCCTAAGAATTAAAATTTAGGCGCTACCATGTTTTTCTATACTGGTTACATTCCCAAGTGATGTCTCTATGAGATGAAACACAGAGATCATAAGTGGGAACCAGTACGTTAACAAATTAACATATCTATGAATATTATATATCTCCCCAAAAGAGGCGTGGTTTGAGAAACAGCTGTATTTACAAAGTGCAACCTATAGTGACGCCACCAAAATTCAAACTTGATCTGTGTTTTGTGGTAATAAGCATTGTGTAAAAGTTTCATAACATTTGGTTGAGGCAAACTCAAGTTAGAGAACGGAAACCAATTTTGGGACGTACGTTCGTATGTACGTACGTACGTACAATCGAACAAGGGTAAAACTTAATGCCCCCATCGCTACGCCGGGGGTATAAAAATACTTTAAACACAGACTGAATCAAAATGTTAATGACATGGACAACTGAATATTTGATCATTATGGTGTGACTTCTACCACAAAATGTTGCAGGCCCTCCAAAAATAACCAGTTATCTAAATTATTTTATTTTTAATCTGTCATTTGAAATCATGTTTCTGCTGTTTCCACATGTTTCATCCTTAACACAACAGGAACAGATGTACAAGGAATCAGTCTTAGTTCTGTGATCACCACGGATACAAACTCTGGTGGAGTTACATCATAAACCACATTCAATAATGTTAATGAATTATAGTCTCTCCAGTCAGATAAATAGGCTGTCTTGTTTCCAATATTGACCAGGTCATCAGGATCACCTGTAAAATCATATTTATCCATTAATATCAAGGTGCAAATTCAGTAGGCCAAAAAAAGATAAAATGCAAATGAACTAACTAGTATACATTATTGTTTAAGGGCCAGCATAAGCCCACCTCCAGTTGCAGGATTTTCTCGTCATATCAAAGACCCATTGGTGGCTGTTACCTGCTCTTTGGTCAGGTTGTTGTCTCTTTGACACATTCCCGTTTCAATTCACAATTCTAAATGATATGGTTTAACTTTCCCTATGTACCCTATTTTTTTTAGACCCTATCCTTAACTTATTTTGGCCATTTTTCAAGTAATCACTGAAGAAGCCATATTATTTCAAGGCCACTTACTAATGAGTAATGAGTAATAAGGTTGAGCCACTGGAATAGCTTGCATTGATAATACATGATATACAGACAGGAAATTAAGATTAAATATATGGTTAGGTTGCTGATTTAATCATCAGTATTTGAAACTGAACAAAGTTCCTGATTTTTCATAGATCTGATTAAAACAAAATACAGTCAAACCTCATTGTGTTGAACTCTTTTGTGTCTAAAACTCTGATGAGTTGAAGTAATTTCTAGGTCCCAGTAAAATACCACTTTGATCAATGCATAATTACCACTGATAAGTGGAACACAATTGTTTCGAAAACTCGGTTAAGCTGAGTATATTTTATAGTCCCGTCGATATAAAATTAATGAAAATTGACTCAAATGTCTTGAAATTGGAAAGTTACAATTTAAGAAAAATGCAGACCGTATGATAAAAAATCAAATCGAATGTATTTCTTATGTCACCTAATCATTTTTCAAAAGAGATTAATGCTGTGTAGACATACTTGTTTGTATAACAGTTAAAATGACATGTTTATGGTGTCCAGTAATAAACACCTTTGTTGATAGTTCAAGCGGAACATTAGTGTATTAAACATATTTCACATGAGATAAAAACAATTGGAATTTAAATGACCTAAACCTGAGATTAAATAAATCTTTAAAATTAAAAATCAGTAATTATGAAAACTAAAACGATTAAGACAATCATGATAAATTCCTGATAATTTGATGTAAGCAGACAACCTCATCAGAGACCTTTCTGACCTTATTTTGTTCTGGGATTGATTTCATTATTCATAGTGACTGACCTTTGTAAAATATTTGCCTAGAAAGTTGAATCATTATGAAGGACCAAAACTGGAGATTGAATACACAATGTCATATCAAAAGCACACTGTTCAAAGTTTCTACTTTACGCAAATCTCATACCCTATTTCATGCATTCCAAATTTCTGAAAGCAATACAATCCAGTGTTCTCCCCAGGATTTTTTTTATAGCGCTGTGGTATTAGCGCCCGATTTAAAATTGATTCACCTTAAGTTTCATGTGTGTTACTGGGTGTTACATTTATTCATGACTACCATGTTAGTTTTATTTTATTGAATAGACAAAGACCTGGATTGTTTATACATGTGCCATGTGCATTAACTGAAATGCAAATAAGTGACATTTCAATTATTAATTAAACTTTAAAAATTAAAATGCCTAGATAACTTAAATAATTTGATTTTATTACCACCTGTCCCCAAATGTAGCACAGTAGGTATATCTTTTTTTCTCATTTTCGGTTGTTTGACTTATAAAATAGTTATATATCCTTTACAGCTTCATAATTTAATTACACATATCAAAGAAGGTTTACAATGACAAAATTTTTGCATTAATTTTTATTTACATTTATCAAATTACAATTATACAATTAAAATTGGTATATCCTATAATATCAAAGGAAGAAATGGAATAACTCTTTCCATAAGTACTGAAATGTAATTAAAGGCATGTTTAAAATATACTAACATATTTGATCATTTTCCAAGATGAATATGATAGAAATCTTTTTTTTAAAGAGTTTTTTTTTATTAATAAAATAGGTGATTATCAATAAATAAATGTTTGCCAATTGGAACATTACAACCACCTTTAAAAGTTGTGTTTGGTTATTTTATGAATATGTGAATTATTGCCACCAGAAATATTTTACAAGATTCGACAATACTTGTTTTAGCACTTTAAATTTTGCCCAATGAAATTGTCTCCCTTCACAACTTCCTGTTTACACATTTTGTTGTATCTCTAGGAATCATTAAATGCCATTCCTTATCCAAGTCATCCACAGTTAACATTGATTTTAAATTAATATTTAATTAATAGATATTGAAAAGTGGATGGCAAATCTCAATATTTTTTTTTTATTTTCAAGAAATTTACGTATCCGATTTTGAAAATAGCGATGCAAGTAAATCGTAAAATACGGGCTTGTAATGAACACCTGGTCAACGGGAATGCTTTTCTCAAAACAATACAGGTCCAATGAATGCTTTTCTCAAAAAACAATACAGGTTCAGTAGTTTAGTTGTTAACTCGAAAAAGTAATGAAATAATCGTAATATTTCAAAAATGGACGAGACCACGTTGTCAGAGAAAGGGTAAAACTTTCCTTAAATACTTTTGGTATAATTTATTGAGCACTGCCTACTCCTTTCATAAAGTTTCTGCATCTTATAATTCTTTTTAAAGTGAAGAAATCCAGAAAGAAATAAAATCTTTTTGACAGAAAAACTTCTGCAATTATCGCCATTTTATTCTTTAATAGAACTGGCCCCTGCGATATTTGACCTATATTATGTCTGCAGTAGTAACTTTGTAAACAAATCCATACGCACCACGTGGATTATCCTGGCATCCCAGCCCAATTTTAGCTGCGCGTCGTATACTGACAAGATAAGCCAGGACCCCAGGCTACACGTGGATATAACCGTATCATTATTAAAAACTTCTTAAATCTTAATAAAGACCAATGTCTTTCGTATGATTTCAAGATGATTCCGATTATTATTTTTTGAATGGTTTCAAAGTTCAGCTGACAAGAAAGGTGGACATTCTTTCAAGAACTATTTTCTAGCGATAGCAGTTTGTAATATTATTGGTATGTAAAAAAGTCCAAAACCATAACAATACGGATCTATTTATATTCTGATTTTTATACGGATTGTAAAGTCATGCACATAAAAGCGAAAGCTCATATAAATATGAAAAATATACCAAAGGGATAGTTCAAAATACCATTTAATAACAATAAACATATGGATAGGTTAAGAATGAAATTCTGTACAGGACATAGGTATGTAAAATACGGAACCGAGTTCGGAAGGCGGCTTGGAAGCGACCGGAAGCGATAAAATCTGGTCAATGGTATAGTAAAATTGACGCTTTGACAGCGTCATTTTCCAAAAACTGCATTTGACCCCATGTTCTATTTTTAGCCATGGCAGCCATCTTGGTCGATGGGCGTGGTCATCGGATACATTTTTTGAACTAGATACCCAAAGGATGATTCAGGCCAAGTTTGGTTTCATTTGGCCAAGTAGTTTCAGAGGAGAAGATTTTTCTAAAAGTTAACGGACGACGACAACTGACGATGGACGCCAAGTGATGAGGTAAGCTCACTTGGCCCTTTTGGGCCAGGTTAGCTAAAAATGCTTGTTTTTGGCCCCTAATTCCTGAAAATTTTGGGGCAATTACCCCCAAAATTCATTCCCAGCCTTCCCTTTGTAGTATGGTATCTTGCATCATAATTTCAGAGCGATCCATACACTAAAACCCAAGTTATTGTCTGGAAACTAGAAAAATGCTTGTGCAATTACCCCCAAAATGCAATCCCAGCCTTCTCTTTGTGATATGGAACCTTGTGGTACAATTTCAGAAAGATCCATACACTTACACACAAGTCATTGTCTGGAAACTACAAAAATGCCTATTTAGGCCCCTTTTTGGCCCCTCATTCTTAACTATTGGGATCATAACTCCCAAAATCAATTCCAACTTTCCTTTTGTGGTTTCAAACCTTGTGTTTAAATTTCATAGATTTCTATTTACTAATACTAAAGTTATTGTCCAGAATCAAAATGTTCTTGGACGAAGCTGACGCAGACGAAAACAATGGCGATGACGACATGATACCAATATATGACGGCAAAAAACTTGAAGAGCCAATTTTCACGAAATTATGTTATGCAAATCTACATATTATGTATAACTGTAACAAATGACATTTCTCAAAATTTCTGATTTATTAACAAATCAATGAACTGAAATTTCATCAAAATATGATATGCAAGTCTACATTTTATGCAAATATTATGGGCCCCCTATCTATGCTTTTGGAAATTGCTGTTACACAAATTGTTGACTAACAGACACACAGAAAAAGAGAAATAGCAAAAACTGTAAGGCTTCCACATCCTCGATTTGGGGCCCTGATAATTATCAAATATGATGCCCCCGCTTGCATATCATATCGTTATGAAGGAACATAACTGAAGAACGGTAAAAATGACGCTACCCAAATTTGAACTTGATATGAGTTTTGTGGTAATAAGCATTGTGTGTAAGTCTCATAACATTTGATTGAGGGTAACTTAAGTAGAGAACAGAAACTAAAAATTCAACAATTTTTCTATTTGTAAACACGCATAACTCTAAAACGGTTGTGCATAAGTTTTATAACATTTGGTTGAGACAAACTGAAGTTAGAGAACAGAAACATGTTTATAAAGGGACATAACTCAAGAATGGTAAAAGTGTCGCCACCAAATTTCATTCTTAATCTGTATTATGTAGTAATAAGCATTGTGTATAAGTTTCATAACATTTGGTTGAGGCAAACTAAAGTTAGAAAACGGAAACAAAAAATTTGTACTTGATCTTAGTTTTGTGGTAATGAATATTGTGTATAGGTTTCATAATGTTTGGTTGGGGCAAAATTAAGTTACAGAATGGAAACTAAACATTTTGCATTTTTTCGATTTATAAAGGGCATAACTCAATAATGGTTAAAGTGACACTACCCAAATTCAACTTGATCTGTGTTTTATCAGTGGAAGTCAAAATTAAACATTGCATTGTATAAAGCATTGATTGTAGTTGATTCAACTATAATCAT